AATTGAGAGGGAAGTACAGAGATTTCCTGTATATTCCCTGCCCCCCCCACATGCATAGCTTCCCCCATTATCAACATCTCCCACCAGAGTGGTACATTCGTTTCAACTGATGAACCTACATTATTAGGTTTCACTCTTGGCCGTGTACATTCTATAGGTTTGGAAAAAATGTATAATGATGTATCCATTATTATGGTATCATAGAGTGTATTTTCACTACCCTTAAAATCCTCTGTCTATTCGTTTCTCTCTATCCTCAACAGCTGGCAACTTCTATTTACTGGCTCCATAGTTTTGCCTTTTCCATAAAGTCATATAGTTGGAATCATACAGTCTGTAGCCTTTTCAGACTGCCTTCTTTCACTCAGTAATACACATTTAAGGTTCCTCCATGTCTTTTCATGGCTTGATAGCTCATTTCTTTTTAAGGCTGAATAATATTCCATTGTCTAGATGTACCACAGTTTGTTTATCCATTCACCTACTGAAGGACATCTTAGTTGCTTCCAAGTTTTGGCCATCCTAAATAAAGCTGCTATAAACATGTGTGTTCAGGTTTTTGTGTGGACCTTAAGTTTTTTGATTATTTTAATAATTGGTTTCCTAGCATTATATGGCAATGAGCTAGATTGAAAATCCAAAAAAATTAATAAAAATAACAAAGGTAAATGAATGATTTGAGGATGAGCTTAGAGTCCAAACCATGTGATACAGTGGCAAGAACACTGAAGAACTGAAATTCTTCATTATGGCACTACTTCACAGAACTATTTTCCCTTTCGACCTGTGAATAGGCTTTATCCCTTAGTGGCACAGAGTCTGAATAGTTATCCAAAATCCTTTTATTTGTTTTTTTTTTGCCATTATTTTTTCATGCTTTCTTATTTCCTCAGGTGTTCTCATTTATTTAGAAGTTGGAGGAAGGTTGCTTCCTGTTTGATTGGCTGCTGGAGACCAGCTGGGACAATAGAGAAATTCTCTAGACCATTAGAATAGATTTTATCGTCAAAGAAGGAGGACAGGGCTTCCCTGGTGGCGCAGTGGTTGAGAATCTGCCTGCTAATGCAGGGGACACGGGTTCGAGCCGTGGTCTGGGAGGATCCCACATGCCGCGGAGCAACTAGGCCCGTGAGCCACAACTACTGAGCCTGCGCGTCTGGAGCCTGTGCTCTGCAACAAGAGAGGCCGCGATAGTGAGAGGCCCGTGCACCGCGATGAAGAGTGGCCCCCGCTTGCCACAACTAGAGTAACCCCTCTCTCAGAAACGAAGACCCAACACAGCAAAAATAAATAAATTAATAAACTCCTACCCCCAAAATCTTCTTTAAAAAAAAAAAAAGAAGGACAAAGTAGCTAATTAGGGAAACAGGAAACCTCAAACAACGTGTTCTTTTGAGTTTTTACTGTAAGAGCCAGGAAATTTCATATGGCTCAGTGGCATAAAGGTTAGGCATTAGGACAAATAGCCATGGAGGGGGGAACCTGGCCAGGTGAGGTTACTCCTCCCGATAAGAGAGATAAAGACCATCTTCCCCTGGGATCTGGTGGTGGTTCTTGAAGCCTTCACTTCAGGCTGGGACAGGAAGAACAGCCTGCTGCTGTGAAATGATAAGCCATTGAGGTTTGAAGGTGTGACTAGGAGCTGTGTGCTAAGCCTCTAGCTGATGAAGTTAATATCAGCAGGAAGGGACGGGTAAAAGGTGTGGTTTCCTAAATGAAGAATGCCTTTAAGCAGCTAGGAAGTAAGTGAATGCTTTATGTATTCATGTTGTGTATGTGTTATCTGTGTTTTGCACAAAAGTGAATTTGGAAGACAATGTACAGGAACATTCAAAACGTTCTTCAGACTATTCATCTTTCTGTTTTCTTAAGGAGTGGGTGTGATAGATGAAGTTTAGTGCTTCCATTTTGTGCTTCTTTGACCAAATGGCAATGCTATAGGAGTTTCAGTTAGTCCTGTCTGAAGTTACTGCTGTTATCTTCTGATGCTGGTTTGAGTTCTTATTTAAGAAGGGATTTGCCTTTCCCAGAAATCAGAGCTTCGTAATAAAAAGAAACTGGAGCTTAGAGGGAGCAGCTACACAGTTTGGCTTTCCCATTATTAATCTCATGATGTCTCTCTACGAAACTATGAAAAATCTAGATTTTGTAGTCAGTTCTTACCTTTAACCACCTTGTTCATCAAGGGCACATGTAGGCCTCATATCTCTTCTATGTGCTACAGTTAGAATAACGAATGGGACCGATGTTCTCATGGTATGGAGTTTATACAGAGGAAACAGACAACTATGTAAGTGTAAAAATATGTTCTGCCCCCGTCTCAGCCTCCATCATGAGAGCTATCCACCCTCTTACCAGCTATGAGCATGTAAAACAAAAGAGAAAAAAAGCTCAACATGACCAATATCTCCATGGGGCGGTAAGACATAAAATAACCAGATCTGAGGTCGTGGAATGCCTTTTTCTATAGAGGCAGTGGGATGCTGCCATGTCTCCCAGCTCCTACATTGTGTTAATATGCACCGCCTTCACCCCCCCCCCCCCCCCCCCCCGCCCAGCCCCGCTTCCTTCTAAGCATCTACACTCCTGGCTCAGTGTGTCAGCATTTCTGTATTGCAGTCCTGGCTCTTTCACTATTCATAGACCCCTCGAAGAAAGAGAAAAAAATGAATATTTACTTATTTTTGAAGTCTAAGAAATCCTAGCTGTAGTGCTAATCTAATTGAATTCTTCCAGATACATAAAGTGAGTGACATTCTTATTGAACGTGTGAAGAAACAGGCTGAAGATTTGGAGTGACAAGTTCAAATTTTTACAGCTAGAAAGGATTTGAATCTTGGACTTCAAATAATAGTATTTAACGTTTCATGAACATTAGCATTAGGTCTGGTTAGCACTTTATATACCCTACAATCTTGGGAAGCAAAAGCACTATTTTACTTTCGTCGAATCTGAGGTTTAAAAAAGTGAAGTGACTTGCCTCAAGTCACACATAGAAGTGAGGGCTGGTATTTCAAGCCAGATCTGCCCGGTTCCAGAATTCACGCTTGGTGGCAAGAGATTAGTTGAAAATCCAGGCTCTTCTGAATCCAAAGCCCATCTGTGCTCTGTGTATTCAATCAGGCCTGATTTTAAACATGGGTCAAGAATTAGCAATAATGTGTTCTTTGGTAAGTCAATTACCTTCTTAACATTAGTTTCTTCATTTGTAAGAGGGGGATGATAGTAAGTAGCTGTCAGTTGGGAGGTTTCAATATGGTTATACACACAGCAGTCCTCCAGCAAATGATGGCATCTATCTCTGCCACCTTTTGACAACCATTACTATTTCTTCCACCCCTACTCCCTACGTTCTCTCAGCTGACTTCATTCGTTCATTTCTGGCATTGGGATTGAGGGCTCGGGATCTTTCTGTTTTGAGATTGACAAAGTCAATCCAGGATGAGGGTAAAGAGAGAAGATGCACAGCAGTCAAAGTGTTCCTGAAGTGTCTAGACTCCACTCATGAAACTTTGTGTGATTGAATTAAATTAGTCCCTGGGAGGTAATTCACCTGACTGCCTGCCCATGATGACAGGTGGCAGACTCAATGGTGATTCTGAGATTAAGAATTGCATCGGAGGATAGGGGTGGGTCAGCTGACAGCCAGACAACAGGCGGCATAACCTAGTGGTGGGGGGGGGGGTCCTAGTGGTCAGAACATTCCGTAGACTGTGTTTGTAAAGTAGTTTGGAAGAGACGTGGGAGGTGAAGAATGGGGATGCCTTCTAAAGGGTGATGGTTAGTTGTGGCTGGAGGTTGGTAAGGGAAGAAAAGAATAAGCAAGGAATGTGGTTAGAACCTGGTGAAATAGGGCTGGGTTTGTCTCTGCATAATCAATTTCACCTTATGTTTCCCACCTCACTCCTCTTCCCCCACAGGGTCTGGCTCATAGAAACAGACTTATAGAAATGAATTTCTTTTCACTGGAAGATTATAGGTCTTCACGTGAGGTAAGATTCGTGGATGAAACTCAAGTAGAAGAATAATTCACCAGTATTTCTTAAAAATATCAAATGTGAACACTTTCACACTAGTGTTGTATAAATGGGAACAACTTTTCTGGAGGGCATTTGGTAATATGTATCAAAGTTCTTTAATGTATATATCCCTTGGCCCCATAATTTCTTGTTTAAAATTTTTTTCCTAAGGAAATATTTGAAAGTACAGGACAAATTTTTTTAATATTCACAAAAAAATGGAAACAACCTAAATGTCCAGCAGTATGGGATTGCCTAAATACATTATGGTATAATCTATATGGATAAAAACTATACATTGTTTTTATTATTTTTTGCGATATGCGGGCCTCTCACTGTTGTGGCCTCTCCCGTTGCAGAGCACCGGCTCCGGACACGCAGGCTCAATGGCCATGGCTCACGGGCCCAGCCGCTCCGCGGCATGTGGGATCTTCCCGGACCGGGGCACGAACCCGCGTCCCCTGCATCGGCAGGCGGACTCTCAACCACTGCGCCACCAGGGAAGCCCTCTTGTAAGCACTTTTTACTACTGATATGTAGTCCTGAATACACATATATATGTATATATGTGTGTGTGTATATATATATATATATGTTTTAAGCCAAGATATTTATATTTTTTCAGAATCCCAAAAAGTAGAATTTTTGTTTTTTGAATGAATAGTTTTAAAAGTGTCTCAGTAATTTGGGATGGTATCACTTTGTCTAACATGTGTATATATATACGTTGAACATTTTGAGCTGAACTGAATAGGACCCAGCCTATCTAATCTATTGGTAAATTTTTAAAAATTCTTTCCTTATTTTCTAATAATCATGGCTGTAGTTACTAGGAGTACAAATGACTTTAGCAAAAATACTGAAAGGTTTTCATTTCTTATATAAATCAGTCTCAGTCTACATGCTTTAGGCACTTGAAGGAGTTAATAAACACACGTCCACAGACACACACACATACATCTTAATCCTGGTGTGTTGCTATAGACTAACCTTTTAATTTTTCTTTGCATAAAAATCATTCTGTTACAAAGTTTTAATGCAAAACACATACCTCACCTCTTTTTACTTTAGAGATGAGTGATCAAGAAGGGACTTATTCCATCCTGAGATTTCTTCGGTCACCTTCGGAGTCACAAAATAGATCAAGGCCTGGTAGTGCCTAAAACCCTGGCAAGACTGACGGAAAAGGTAGATGTTTGAAGCAACTAGATTCACCCATCTCTTATGAATTGTCAAACTTCTGACATTAGAAATAAAAAGTTCCTATCTATATTCTAGGTTCTCAGTAATATGAAACCATAATGGTCTTTAGTATCTTTTGTTTTTAATTTTGTGAGAATGGAGAAATTAATTCTTTTAAATTTGAGAAGGTAATATAATTTTTTAAAATAAATTTATTTATTTTTGGCTATGTTGGGTCTTCGTTGCTGTGCGCAGGCTTTCTCTAGTTGCAGTGAGCGGGGGCTACTCTTCGTTGCAGTGCGAGGGCTTCTCATTGTGGTGGCTTCTCTTATTGCGGAGCACGGGCTCTAGGCACGTGGGCTAAAGTAGTTGTGGCTTGCAGGCTTCAGTAGTTGTGGCTCGCGGGCTCTAGAGTGCAGGCTCAGTAGTTGTGGCACACGGGCTTAGTTGCTCCACAGCATGTGGGACCTTCCTGGACCAGGGCTCGAACCCGTGTCCCCTGCATTGGCAGGCGGATTCTTTTTATTTTTGCGGTACGTGGGCCTCTCACTGTTGTGGCCTCTCCCGTTGCGGAGCACAGGCTCTGGACGCGCAGGCTCAGCGGCCATGGCTCACGGGCCCAGCCGCTCCGCGGCATGTGGAATCTTCCCGGACCGGGGCATGAACCCGAGTCCCCTGCATCGGCAGGTGGACTCTCAACCACTGCGCCACCAGGGAAGTCCCAATAGAATGTTTTCATTCGAATTTGGTCAAGAGAAATTCATGAGGACTTTTTTTTTTTTTTTTGGCCAGACCAAAAGGCTTGCTGGATCTTAGTTCCCCGACCAGGGATGGAACCTGGGCCCCCAGCAGTGGAAACGTGGAGTCCTAACCACTGGACCGCCAGGGAATTCCCTCATGAGGATTTTAAAAGTAAAGGACAGACTAGAGTCTCAAGAAAACATTGCAGGGGCTTCCCGGGTGGCGCAGTGGTTGAGAATCCGCCTGCCAATGCAGGGGACACAGGTTCGAGCCCTGGTTCAGGAGGATCCCACATTCCGCAGAGCAACTGGGCGTATGCGCCACAGCTGCTGGGCCTACGCTCTGGAGCCTGTGAGCCACAAGTCCTGAAGCCTGGGCGCCTGGAGCCCGTGCTCTGCAAAGAGAGAGGCCACCGCAGTAAGAAGCCCGCGCACCACAAGGAGGAATGGTTCCCGCTTGCTGCAACTGGAGAGAGCCCGCGCAATGTTAATTCTTAAGGGAGGAGACATTTGGCTCAGGTCACAGATCTTTTTCAACTTACCCGTGAATCCCAAGACTCCTGTTGTTAAAAGGAGAAAGAAACAGAAGATTCCAAGAATCACTAGAGTGGGAAAGCAGGCAAATGGAACTGAAGACCCTGCCCGGAGAGAAAACAAAGAGGCTGAGGGGACCAGCAGGGGAAAGACTGAGTTACAGGGCTTAGAGGGGGACGCTCCGTAAATTCAAGACCCTAACTCTCGAATGTCTTCAAACCTGAAATCATAAATTGAAAGGGATACTGGACAATTTGAAACATCAACGGACTGAGAGTTGCCAGGGTTCTACTCCCTATTCTGCTACTATATACCTCTGAGGGAAGTCACTTATTCTATCTTTACCAAAATAATTCTTTGATTTATGAATACAAAGTGAATACTAGATATGAGGACTTGGTTTTTGAGATGCAAACATACTTCTAAATAAAACATATCTAGGGCTTCCCTGGTGGCGCAGTGGTTGAGAATCCGCCTGCCGATGCAGCGGACACGGGTTCGAGCCCTGGTCTGGGAAGATCCCACATGCCGCGGAGCAACTGGGCCCGTGAGCCACAACTACTGAGCCTGCGCGTCTGGAGCCTGTGCTGCGCAACAAGAGAGGCCGCGATAGTGAGAGGCCCGCGCACCGCGATGAAGAGTGGCCCCTGCTTACCACAACTAGAGAAAGCCCTCGCACAGAAACGAAGACCCAACACAGCCATAAATAAATAAATAAATAAGTAAAACATATCTGTATAGTCAATTTTATTGACCCATAATCAGAAGATATTTATTATCCTGTAAATATCATATGCTCGCATATATATCCATCATTTTCTCATTGGAGCCTCACTACAGTTCTTCAACAGTAGAAGAACTTATAATTCCAAACATGTATCAAATAATGTTAATCAAATATTGTTTCTTGAAACTTCATAAAATGAGTGGATATAGACATCAGGAGATTCACAATTGTTTCCAAATTGAAAAGCAGTAATTTTCCTGCTTGATTTGCTCAGTTATGAATTTATGTATATAGCACCCAAACCACATTAATTATCTGGAATATACTAAATATGGACATCTCACTTTCAATACCATTTTTTTTGTTTAGATTATAAGATATAGTTTAAGCAACCTCATGAAACTGGGCAGGCTAACTTAGTTATTTGCGGCCGTGGTAGGCTGAGCAATTGGAGGACAGGTAAGCTAGGTCCTCTACATAAACTTTACCTTTTTCTTCAGGTGATTCAGTTCTTGTTATCTTTGTCCGATTGGACTTTGTAGCGCATATTTTCGCTTCTGCGTAAATTAGCTGCTCTTTTGTCTCTGGAGATTAAAAGAGAGACGTGGTTACCACGCCATAGTCACACTGTTTCTTGGAAAGCATGTAAGTTATCAGTATGTGTGAAGGGAGTTGACAGAATAGGATTTTTTCCAAATCGAGGAGATCTATATACTTGTTTTCTTCTTACCATGTAAAGTCCATCAGGTAAATCTTTTAAGTAACAAAATCTTGAAAAAGAGTTAGACATAATGTGCCATATGCTAAATTATAATGACATTCTTTAGAAAAATTATTTAACAAGGAAAAGAAAATAATATCAGAGTTCAGTAGGGACTGGAAGAAAAAAATACTCACTTTCTGCATCTGCTTCTTGGAAGGGATGTGTTTCAACTCTGCATATCCTGGGTGTTTTTCATTCATCTCTAAACATTTTTGAGATACAATTCTAAGATACAGACATCAACAGGTTTTTTTGAAACTAAGTTTTCAGGTTCTGTCTTTCTGAGTTCTCTGTGTATTATTGAAATCACTATTTCATACCATTTAAATACTGATGCATGATTTTACTTCTGCAATTTTCTTCCAAGAAAGATTTTTGCCTCAGATTATTTTCTTTCCCATTCCTAAACTTATCAGTTACCAGCATCTCTTTAGATGTCATTTCACCTGTTACCTGGAGTTCTCCAAATGTGGTATTTAACTTTAAAAGGGTAACAGTGCTATGATCTATGAAATGTTTATACTACACTTAAAAACTGTCCCTATCCAGAAAAATAAAAAGATAATTTTTATGAGTCATTTTGTATTGTAAAGATAACTAGTGTTACATAGTAGGTTATTCTAAAATTTCTCTTTCAGGAGTTCTCCTGATTTTTTTTCTATTTATCTTCACTCTTTCTTTTATGATTAAAGATAGTTTACTTTCCATGATCTCCTGAAGAATCTCTTCCAACAAGTTGTTAAAAATGAAAGCCCTACAATTGGGATGCAAATTAGTTTAGTTGTACTCTTGTGGGGTGTGTAGCATTGTGCCCGTAATATTTGAAGGCATAGGCTAAAAGCAACCAATTCTCCTTGAAATATTAACTTTACTTGCAAATTTTTTGAAAAGTTAATTTATTTCAAGTATTTCAAATATCATTTTTATAATCAAAGCAATTTATATAGAATAGAATTCTGATAACACAAAAAGTTTTTAAATTCTTATGTTCACTAGTTTGCCAGCGTATCATCAAATAAAACACTTTTTATATATTTTATTTCCTCAGAGAATTATGCCCTGTTGTTGTCTTTTATACTGATGAAAATATATAGGCCTTCGTGTGTTCATAATATTCACTTATAACATTTAATAGTTTCCCACAAGATAACTTCTCGTAAGAAAACATGATTGTGCAGAAATAGGTTTATAATGCCTTTAAAAATTCTTTACCAAGTCTGTAATATCTCAGGAATATGGAAGCTATATCACATAAATAAGAAAATTCTAGATTTGGATGTGAAATAGAGAAACACACTATTATACAGACAAGAACAATTAATTACTGATTAAATAATTATTTTATTATTCATATCCTGGCTTCATCGATGTGACCATTTGCTTTATTAACTCAGTTAATCTGAGAGATATCCTGAAATATTTTCTAACAGTGCTATCAGTTATATTCAATGGTAAACCATGAAAAAATCTGAGGTAATTTACCTTGTAAAGTGAGTTTTAAACCTGAATGGGTTAGTTCTTTTTCTACAAGATTAAATTTACTGGATTACTTTTTAAAATCTCTATTCTTTGTGCTCCGTATACGCACTAGTAACGATGAGATAAGCTGAGAGCGACAGCTATAGATACAGTTGGTGATACCTGTGTCAGTGTGGTAGTTTCTGCTGGAATCTGGACCCAATGGAAGAGGTGAACCCCAGTGGGCGAATGGCACAGTTGTGTGAGCTGTAGCTCAAGACGACTCTTCTGGGCTCTATATGTTATTGGTTCTTGTTATCAAAGAAGCTTCAGTGTTTGCCAGCTCTTCATGAACATGTGAGAAAGCAGTTCATATTTGTACTTCAGGCTTCACAATTTGCATCTTCTACGGAGAAAGGCAGTTTTTAAGCAAGGGAGATGAATGGGCAATATAATTTAAAGGGCCATGCCCATTTTGCACAGAATTCAACACTGAACTTAAAAAAAAAAAAGCACCAAAAAGGCCACCATCACCACTATGACCACCACCAAATACTATGATTCTAAATATAATCCCTGTATAGATTAGACACTAGTTTGGGCTCTAAATAGAAACTGTATATAATGGGATATTTAAATCCATCTTCTAAACTATGCTAGTGTTAGCTAAATGGAAATATTAATACATGAATACTAATAGTCCATTATTCTCCACAGTTATCTGAAGGAGATTTTCAAAAATAAAAGTTTTAAGATGTTAAGTTTTATTAGATGAAGAGCTAGTCAATCCCTGGTTCCTTTAAAATATATCTAAATTCAATTGCTTTATTCTTTGAAACATTTTTTTCAGTACATATACTTTTTACAGTCTGTTTTTTCAATTCATTCCAATACAAGTATACTCTATATTCTCTAAATATACTCTCTCTATATAAACTTCAGGTTTTGAGGTTTTTGGTTCCCTTCTCCTTCAGTCTGTACTTTAATTATAAAGAGTAGAAATATATTGGCTTCCCCCTTAGTGGTCTAAAGTGGCATTTCCAAAGTGTAATGGATAAACGGTGACAGTGCAGTTGGAATATATATGTTTCAACTCAGTAGAAAAGGATTGATAGCTTTATCTGTTTTCACCATTCAATAATGGTAAAAAACACAATAAAGAAATGTATTTCAATTGTGGATTCCATTCCTTCAAAAATCCCACTTTAGACTGGTACATTTGCAAGAGTTTTACATTGAGTTCTAGTATGGAGAAATGATGACAAAAGAAAAACCTATTTTGATGTAAAAACAAGTTGTTACGGAAATTTTCAAACAGAATGAGTGTAATAAAAAAATAACCCTATGTAGCCTGAGAAAGAGGAATATTATTTATGTTCTGGCTATATGTTCTTTCTGGCTTTGTTATAGTCCCTTCTTATTCTTGTCTTGCTCTCTCAAACTGCTAGAGACTTCATCTAAAACAACCATCTGGTAAGCTCAACACTCAACACCACTGTAATTGGAATATTAGAACTTGAAAACATTTGCTTAGGCCTTAACTTCTCACATTTGGAAGTCCATCAAACATTTCCATTTCTTCCTAATCACTAACTTTCTGCACTTAAACAAAAAGTCAGTTCTCTGATCTACTTCTTTATCATTTTTCTTTACAATATTATACCTCTTTACAGCAATTTTTCTTTTTTAACCAATGATATAATGTAATAATTATTTTCATCATGAAACATATATGCCCCATTATTTCTCAATAGTTCACTAACTCTTTAATCTTTCATATTCAAAATAGCTCTCTTAGTCTTTAGTACGATTATGCTTCACCTTACAAATTACCTTCTTGCTTGTAGGTGTTTCCCTTTCATCACTTTAAATATGTCTTGCCACTCCCTCCTGGCTTGCAGAGTTTCTGCCGAAAGATCAGCTGTTAACCTTATGGGTATTCCCTTGTATGTTGTTTTTCCCTTGCTACTTTTAATATTTTTTTCTTGGTATTTAATTTTTGATAGTTTGATTAATATGTGTCTTGAGTGTTTTTCCTTGGATTTATCCTGTACGGGACTCTCTGCTCTTCCTGGACTTGATTGACTATTTCCTTTCCCATATTAGGGAAGTTTTCAACTATAATCTTTTCGAATATTTTCTAAGTCCCTTTCTTTTTCTCTTCTTCTTCTGGGACCCCTATAATTCAAATGTTGGTGCGTTTAATGTTGTCTCAGAGGTCTCTGAGACTGTCCTCAATTCTTTTCATTCTTTTTTGTGTATTCTGCTCTTTAGTAGTTATTTCCACTATTTTATCTTCCAGATCACTTATCCATTCTTCTGCCTCAGTTATTCTGCTATTGATTCCTTCTAGAGAATTTTTAATTTCATTTATTGTGTCTTTCATCATTGTTTGTTTGCTCTTTATTTCTTCTAGGTCCTTGTTAAACGTTTCTTGTATTTTCTCCATTCTATTTCCAAGATTTTGGATCATCTTTGCTAGCATTACTCTGAATTCTTTTTCAGGTAGACTGCCTATTTCCTCT